TGGCGAACTCAACCCAGACGCCGCCGCCGGCGCTGGGCCCTTCGTCTTGCCATCGACGACGGGGGGCATTGCCGTCGTTCGCCCGGCGGATCCGACCATTGACGCCTCATGTGCTCCCTCATGGGCTGCGCGCCATTGCCGAGGCTACCCCCCGCGGATCCGGCCCGAGGGTGGCTCATGGCGCCATCAACGCCCTCGCCACCGCCGACGCCGGTGGATGCCGCCGCACCCTACGCCATTGCCGACGCTGCGTACACCACCACTGCACGCAACCATCTCCAAGCAATTGCAACTCCCGATCCGCCAACTCCAAAGAAGAAGAAGACGCCACCACCGAGCGCCCAGGCAGTCGTGGAGTCGCGAGCAACGGGATCTAGGGACACGGCCTCCACGGCCAACGCCCCACTCCGGATGCGCGCCCGCGACAGAGCCGACGGGATCCAAGGCTGCTGGTGCCGGTGATGGCGCGGCCGTGACGCCTCGATGTGCACCCGCACCACCGCTGCCCGCGACGGGGCAGACCGGGGCAACGGCGAGTAGTCCCTGTTCTGGCGGATCCATCGCCGCCGGTATTGGCTTCGGTGGGCGCGCACAGCAGCCGCCGCAGCTGCCATGGCCCACAACCTCGCTGGTGGTGACGACGAACTCGACGCCCAACTCGTTGTAGCGGCCTCCTCCGGCGTCGGGGATTGACATCTTCCTCGTCCACCCTTCCGCGCCCAGGCCGTCGTCCTCTCTGTCCCCCCTCGCCTCCCCTTTCCACCCTAGGGATGGCTCGATGGGGCGTTTCAAGGCTCGTCGATGGGCGAAAGAGGATCTTGACGACTCCGATGCGGAGTGGTCGCCGGTCATCTCCCCAACCTCCTACCTCGACGTAGTCCGCTAGGGGTCACAGCTCTGGACATCGCCTTTGCTAGAGCGCGCCAAGCCGCGCCTAATCGTCGGTGGCTCTCGCAGCAATGCTGCTGTTGTCAACTGACGCGCCGGGGGTGGGGCAACCGCCCTTTGGCTGAGAGAGCCTGGCCAGCCAATGTCACCGGAGGCAAGCACAGCGGTGCTACTGGTGCTGGGGTCGTGCATGGGCAGCGCAACCACAGGACTCGTCGGCCACGGCCACGCCCCCAGCTGGTGCACGGCCTGCCTGCTCGGCCTGTGGATGGCCGCATCCCCGTCTGGCAAAGCCTCGGACATCGTCCGCACTGCGACGTCCGCCAGCATATCTCCGCTCTGGACAACGACGGCTGGCGTGAGGTCTTTTCATAGGGGTCGTCAAGTGGTGCCGACAGGCACGCCCCACGCATTGCATTGGTGAACCAGGGCCCCCTACCCGCTATCCGACGGACCTACGCGGGAAGTGCTTCAACTGTCTCTCCACCGCGCATAGGGTGGCAACCTGCAAGCCGCCTCCATGCTGCCTCCGATGCAAGGGATTCCGACACCTCGCGTGGGACTTTAAGCGACGGCGGACGGTGCCGCCTTCTAGCTCCGGCACATCAGGTGCCTCAGAAGGCCGGCCACGATGACCTGTCCGAGAGCGTATCTCAGGCAACTAGCCGCGTACTCTAGGTGACACGCCGAGCGCGGCTGGAGCCGTGTTAGGTACGATTGCAGCTATGCCAGGTGCGACTACGCACGGCGGCGGCGGGCGGAGACGTCGGCGATGACTGAAGGGGGACAACACCGCTACGGCAACGAGGGTCACCACCGATAGTCACGGGCGGTTAGCAGGGGCCGCCCAGACGGCACCTAACTTCATCACTGCTGGAGCTCAGGCAACGCACGGTGAGTTGACCAACGACATGGGCATCGTTGAGCCCGACTCGTTGACGCTGACGCATGATCGCGACATCACGGAGGACCCGATGTTAGAGGAGTTCGCAGCCTCGCTCATCGGTAGTCGGATCGTCGCGCAGCCTTCCCTTGATCGCCTGCCGTCACCTTCGGCGCCCCAACTAGAGGATGAGGCCCCGGCGATGGCAGCCCCCTAGCTGGAGGATGTGGACCCAACGGTGGTCTCCTATGAGTTGCGAACACCACCCCTGCGCCCCATTCAGTGGGCAGTTTACTCGCCGAAGATCGAGCTCATGGTGGATGTTGGCCCTCCCAGTTCACCACCGGTGGATACCCACCAGGCTGTGGACAATGATGACTTCGCCAAACGTCGCCTCGACAGCTTCATCAACAATGTGACGTGTAAGAGGGACTCTCCGCTGATTTGTGAGCCTCCCAAGCAACCTCCTGCTAATCTGGTCCTGCTGTGGCGGAGCAGGCAGTTAGCGGCTCAAAGCCTTTCCCGAGTACCAGCTTCTAAGCGAGGTGAGGTGTTGATCATGTAGCGTATGGGCTACACCAATGGTCCATCAGCACCATCCATGTCGAAGCTGGAGGCCTTTGACAAGCTCTTCGATGGCAACCTGACTGCGTTCAATGCCGAGGCATTGGACGCGCTCTTCCCGACTGTTGGAAAGGGCTCGTCCAGGCAGCCACGAAGACGCAAGGCCACTTCCTAGGTCACAAAGCTACGTCGGTATTTGTCGGGTATCGATAGTAGGGATACCCAAAGCAAGGGAGTTAGCACCCACACTGACCCCCCGGATGGCTCGAGACGTATTAAAAGGTCTCGCCCGACCCCAAGGTCGTGGGCTCCGTCTCGCCCGACCTTAAGGCTGTGGGCTCCGTCTCGCCCGACCCCAAGGACGCGAGCTACATCTCGCCTAAGGCCACGGGCTTCGTCTCGCCTGACCCCTTAGGTGCGGGCTTCGTCTCGCCCGACCCCAAGAACGCAGGCTCGGTCTCGCTCGACCTAGAGGCCGTGGGCTTCGTCTCGTCCGACCTCGAGGCCGCGGGCTCCGTCTCGTCCGACCCCTTGGATGCGGGCTTCGTCTCACCCGACCCAAGGACGTGATTTTCGTCTCGCCCAAGGCCGCGGGCTCCGCCCCGCCCGACCTCGAGGACGCGGGTTCCGTCTCGTCCGACGGGGATCTATACCATCGCCAACCACTCTAGGTCTAAGTGTATGTGTCTGGGTCAAAACTCTGAAGCGCAGGGAAGAGACTGGCACGCTTCGATGTAACCCGTGGCCATGACAGGCCATACCAGGGGATTCGCATCAAGAACAGTATCGGACGTACCGGTGCTGTTCTACCTAATCCTCGTACGGACGCTGACAGACGCATCAGTTCACCACGACGTTCGCCGGGACGGAGTGGAACGCCATGACCGGGAGATGACGCCTGGGCATGGCGCCAATGACGAACATGGCCGTGACATGGAGCCGTCCCTGTTGACATCTACAGGATCAGTGGGACCCGCATGAAGGAGAAGAAGGACCCGGCAACCCTGGAAGCCTTCTTCTCTCTCGTTCTTCTACTTTTCCTCCTCTGTAACCCACGCTTTCCCTTGTCTATAAAAGGGGAAGCAGGGCGCCCCACGGTGGGGGGCGGACCACGAGAAAAAAATACAAGAACACTACACGAGCACACGGCTGAGCGATAAGCAAGCTCTCAGCACCCGTTCACTCCTTCTACCAGAGAGTTAGGATCCTTTTCCTCTCTCGTCTGTTTATAACCCCTACAGCAAGCCAAGTGCTGGTGACACGAGCAACAGCGAATTGGACGTAGGGACGTTCCGCCCGAACAAGTATAACCCCTTGTGTCCTCCGAGCATACCATCCAAGTCAGACGTGCAAATACAAATTTACTCGTCGGTGGTCCGAAAACACCAACAGTATTGGTTGTTTCCTTTTATGTAATATCAAAACAAGATGTTTTTTGCTAGGATGGTCTAGCTTCGGTTGTTTTAGGTCGACCTCCTTCGACGCTCGATAGAAGCGCGTTGTATGTTTGTTTAAACTCTTCTACTTAATACAATGGTACGTAAATTTTTTGCGTATTCGAGAAAAAAAGACACCAATGGAGGTGTGTGAGGGCCTTGGCCTCTACGATTTGAAGAATCGCATCTGGCACATCCAAGGCTCTTGTACGCTCAAAGGTGATGGACTTTATGAGGGTTTGGACTGGCTGGCAAGCACACTGAAGGAATTGCAAGCTTCAGGTCGCCTACCTTCCGGAGGGACATCGTTGTTCTAAGAAGCAAGTCTGCCTGTAAGATCCTTCGGCTGATACTAGTAATAATGGATCAAGAGCATTTTTTTTCTTGTCATGGGTACTCATCCCTAGGGATTTCTTGTCAGTGATCTAACCTGTGATATAGACCTTGTAAATTTCGTTGTGAGTTCATACAAAGCTAACCGGTGGATGCATTTGTCACATATGAGAATTGATGAGTCAACTTCCGGGTAAATTGAAGTTGGCAAACACAATTTATCTCTACAAATTGGTGTCATTGTATCTATCTGATGGCCATTCATCAGGATTGAGTTTATTAAACGAAAGAAGAGACCGGGACATCCTAAAATGATGACTGAATGTGCTTAATGGGCTGCTTCACCCAATGTTCTCTTCTAAAACACATGTGGTGTGCATTGGTAATTTTATTTGATGTGGTGCCTAATATTTGTATGAATAATCAGATCGAGAACGGCCAACGTAGGCCATTAGTTCTCTTCCAGAACACATGTGATGTGTATTGGGGATTTTATTTGTTGGAGTGCCTAATATTTCTGTGAATAATCCAGGCCGAGAACAGCCAACGTAGGCTGTATCTGTACCATTCCCTTTTATTTATTAAAAGAATCTTCAATCATATGTGTAGCCTGGAGGAAGAGGAAAGAACCGTGACAGGTGACACTGACGTACGTCGCAACAGCCAGCAGCAGGAGCAAAGCAGCAAGCAAACGCCACTCGCCGCCGTGTGCCCCGACGCCCCGTGACCCAGGTCCCAGCCGCAGCCACACAAACCGACCGCCCCCTCCCGTGCTCTCACCCTCCAGTCCTCGTCGCCACTCGCGCGCCGTGCCGTGTGAGTGACCGTCGTCGCAACTCGCGAGTCGCGACGATGAGATAGAAGCGGGACCGGCCCCCCACCCCGGGCTCGCTCGCATGACGCAATCGCCGGCGTCCACTGCAGTCTCCGACTCTGGGATGCTGGGCCGCCGCCTCGCGCTGCTCCTGGCGTCGACCCTCGCGCAGGTCTCGGTCACGGCCGTGGCGATTGCATCGGGGGCGTGCCTCTCAACCAAAGTCGACTTCTTCTGGCCTCGCATCGAGCAGTTGCCAGGTAACAGACGTGCAATTGTGTAGATTTATAGTGACTTGGCCGTATCGGCTGCATAATTTCATTTGTTGAAACAGTTGCCACTGTAAGCAGGGCAGTTATGTTCAGACATAAGCGATTCAGTGACATGTGCGCACAGTTCTTTCGGAATGAAGTGAACATACAACTATGCTTTAGCGTGGACCAGTAGTGACTCATATGACACCATTGCCTCTTACTGATTTCAATTGTTGTCTTATTTCATCGAAATGTATTTTGTTCAATATGAGAATGTCAGATACTTATGCTATCTCACTGGATGTATTTTGTGCTATGTAGTTTGATGTAGTAAAGAAATAATCTACTTTGGCCCCTACTTTGTAGGGTTTGTTTCTTGGGCGAAACGTTCTTAGTTAGAATTGTTGATGTAATTAGCTGATAACAATTTTGTGACTACAGGATCTTCACCTTGTCAATGTTCGTTTTCATTCTGATCGTCAATGTTTGTATTCATTATGATTACTATCTCATATTTGTATTATGCGCCTTAGCAGATACTCTTATATTTGAAGGAGTGGAGGTGACAGGATACCAGATATTTGAGGATCCAAAGGTGCAGAAAGCAATAGAATTTGCTAGTACAGCCCACCTTGGGCAATTTAGGAGAACAGGAGATCCATATGTTACACACTGCATACATACTGGAAAAATTTTAGCTGCCTTGGTTCCATCAACTGGAGAAAGAGTATTTCCCTCTCCTTCTGTCTTCCGAGAATACATCCTTCATTTTTTTTTCTTCACAAGCTTAATTGAAGAGTGTTTTTCTTCTTTCTTCCCTTATAGGCTGTTAACACAGTTGTGGCTGGCATTCTTCACGATAATGTTTGTGATACATCAGAGAGCTTGAAGAGCAGTTTGGGGATGATGTTGCTAGCTTGGTATCTGGTGTATCAAAATTAAGCTACATAAACCAGGTGATGTATACCCTGTTGATATGGATTGTGACTCTATGCAGTTTTCCATCTCTTTTATCCGTTATAGATGAAGCATGCTAAACTATCCATTATGCACCTCATACATGACAATTCCTTTACTCCTTGTTTAACTTAGCTCTTCTAATATTGAGCTGTCCAAAAACTTCATTAGTGCACTGCATCGCAGAAATTTTTGTAAATGTCATTTTAGCAATCAACATATTGAACCAAAGAATCAATCAATTCCTGTACCTTTCTTGTTTACCCCACCTTGATTGCTCAGACATCTAATGTTATGGTCGGCAAGGTCTAGTGTTTTCAAGGCGTCGCCTAGGCGACGCCTAGGCGTCCAGGCGTATCCAGCTCGCCTTGGGAAACAGTGGCGCCTTGTGGCCTAGGCGTCCAGGCGTACCAAGCACTCGCCTGGACGCCTAACCGCCTTTAAAACTATGGCAAGGTCTACCGCAGGAGAAACCGTGGCTGAACGGTGGACCGCAACAGCGCGCCGCGTCCGCCGCGGTCACCACGCCACGATGAACTTGGACACCGTCCAGTGCGCGTATGCTAGTTATCAGGATCCAGAAATTTAGGTTGATTAGTTCATTTGGTTGTTATCCCTTAAGGCTAGTTGAAGTTTGGTTAGGATTTGCTGTATAAGTATCAAACATTTTTGCTTAATGAAGTTTAGCCAGACATTGAGTTAATCTCTCTCGCTCTTTGGCTTTGCCGCTCTCTCCCTCTCGCTCATGTTCTTGCCCTAGCCTAGGCGCCGAGCACGGCGCCGTCAGTTCGCCGCCGGGCATTCAAGCCTCGGATAGCCACAACCCATTCCTACTCCCTACGCAACAATCCACATTCCAACAACCTGGTATCAGCCATGTCAGGTTCTGGATTTTCCGCCGCCACCATCGTTCCCACCACCGCCGCCACCACCTCCGCCATGCCACCCGTGTTTTCATCCACTCCCACAGTCACTAGCGCTGCCATCATGGGCATTCGGGCAGAAGATACGATGCAGCTGTACATCACCATGGGCAACGAGCACTTTGTCGCCCTCCTTGATTCGGGATCCACGCACAATTTCATCAAGGGGGATGTGGCGAGCCACGTTGGCCTGTAGTTCCAGCCATGCCCTGGCGCGGGCGTCATCGTGGCCAATGGTGACCGCGTGGCTTGCCGCGGCCTCGCCCGGGACGTTGGTGTCCGCATCGCCGATGAAACGTTCACCATCGACTGCTATCCATCCCCATCGATGGCTACGCCATGGTCCTCGGAGTCACGTTCCTCCGCACGCTCGGCCCCATCTTGTGGGATTTTGATGACCTATGTATGGCCTTTTGGCACGAAGGGTGTCGCGTCTTCTAGCGTGGCATCGACTTGACTCGCCATGACGTCCAGTCCACGCAGCGCCTCCTGCAGTCGTTTGATGACATCTTCGCTGACCCACAGGGGCTCCCGCCCGCCCGACCCTGTGATCACTGCATTCACCTCCTGCCGAACACCTCCGGTGGCGGTTCGTCCCTACCGGTATCCACAGCTCTAGAAAGATGAATTTGAAGCCCAGTTGAAAGCCCTAGTTTGGTTTTGGATAATTGATGAAACCTATGGACTAATCCTAAGTGCTAAGTGTGTAGACAAGAGAGGATAGTCCATTCCAAGTGGTGGAGCAAGAGGATGATCATGGTGGATGATGATGACTAAAAGATGATCAAGTGCTCAACTTGGAAAAGAAGAAAGCGAAAAACAAAACCCTATGGAGTTCAAGGCAAAGGTAAATTAGGGATTTTGTTTCGGTGATCAAGACACTATAGAGAGTGTGATCATGTTTAGGGTAGATGGTCGTACTATTAAGAGGGGTTCTCTACTAGACAATTCGGCTAATGCCACTAGGTGTTGGATTTCATGCATTGCATTTAGGCCTAGTGCGCAATCGGAGAGCAAGCTAAAAATATTTATTGAAAATATTTTGAGAAATGTTAACTTAACTCTAACATGTTTTGAGAAAACACTTTATGAGTTAGCATCGCTTGCGGGGAATAGCTCTAGTTGCCGTGGATCGAATCGCGAAAAAGTTTGCAACTTGGTGAGCTTGTGGTGGTGCCTGGGTGGCACCGCCACCCCTAGGGTGGTGCCCACCTGGACTTGACCGAGAAGGGCAGTAGTGGGGTGGTCACCGAACATGGCCTTGTGCACCGCCACTGGCACCGCTACTTTTCACCCGAGGCTGGGGTTTTGGACTTGAGCGAGGGAGGTCACCGCCATGGTGACTGCAGTGCACCGCCCTATTTTTCCAGAGAAGGTTGGTTTCGGGGACTTGGCTGGGATGGTCACCGCCATCCCTATGGTGGTGCCACCGCCATGCCATGTCCGGTGACCAACGGACCGTTGGGGCACCGCCACCCCAGGGGCGGTGTGCCACCGCCGTGTCCGGTGCCCCCGCGCAGACAGCTCCAAGGGGTACAACGGTTCTATTTGCTTATGTGGCTATAAATAGAGGGTGTGGCCGGCCTTGGCCACCTTCTTGGCACTTCATACACTTGAGTACACCCTTTGTGAGCTGAGCAAACACAATCCACTCACTTGCACACTTGATTTCATCATTTGAGTGAGATTGGTGAGCCTTTAGTGCATTGCATTGAGTTGCATCATCTTGTGGCACTAGTTGGGTAATTTGGGCCAGTTGTGAGCTTGTTACTCTTCGTGTTTGTCGACACCTAGACGGCTCGGTGATTGGAGGATCATTGAGCGGAGTTGATGATTGTCTCCGGCCTCGATCGGTTGCTTGTGCGGGTTCTTGATCTTCTTACGGCGAAGAGCCAAAATGTACTCTATTGGATTGCGCGTGTCATTGAGCTACCTCACTTGTGGGTAGGTTCTTGCGGTGTCCATTTGTTGGACGAGGTTCATGCAACACCTTTTAGCCGTCGAACAACCAAGTGTTGGTCGACACAACGAGGACTAGCGTGCCGGCAAGCACGTGAACCTCATGAGAAAAATCGTGTCATTCTTGTGATTGGATTTCTCCCAGTGATTGGTTGTCATCTTATTGTGATTGGTTCATTCCTCTACACGACGGTATAATCACCCTACTCACTCCATTACTTTCTTGCAAACTAGTTGTAGCAAGCTCTTTAGTGTAGCTAGTCTTGAGAGGTTGCTGGGTAGCTTAGTTTCATCTAGTGGAGCTCTTTAGTGCAGCCTTGTTGAGAGCTCTTAGTGAGTAGTGACTTATCCTCTTGTGTGCCTAGTGATCATAGCAACTAGAATTGTTGGGATAAGTGGCTTGCAACCCTTGTAGAGCTAGAGCAAATTGCATTACGCCGTTTGTTATACTAATCAATTGCTCTAGTGCTTTGTAGAGTTTTAAATAGGCTATTCACCCCCTCTAACCATATTAGGACCTTTCACCAGTGCGCCGCCATGCTCGAGCAGGGCATTATCCGCCACAGTACATCAGCCTTTTCCGCGTCGGTGCTCCTAGTCAAGAAGCAGGATGCGTCGTGGCGCTTCTGCGTCGATTACCGCGCATTGAACGAGCACACTGTCAAAGATAAATTCCCCGTTCCTGTGGTCGAGGAGCTCCTGGACGAGCTTCATGGGGCTCTCTTCTTCACCAAACTGGATCTCCGTTCCGGTTATCACCAAGTGCGCGTGCATCCCGACGACATGGAGAAGACGGCCTTCCGCACCCATCATGGCCACTTCGAATTTTTGGTGATGCCGTTCGGCCTCACGAACGCGCCGGCCACGTTCCAGAGTTTGATGAATGTCATGCTATAGCCATTTCTTCATAAGTTCGTCTTGGTCTTTTTCGACGATATCTTGATCTACAGACCATCGTGGTCCACGCATCTTCAGCATGTCAAGGCGGTCCTCACGGCACTGCGGGAACATCAGCTGCGCATCAAGCGCAGCAAGTGCTCCTTCGCGACGCGCACAGTGGCCTATCTGGGTCACGTGATCTCGACAGACGGCGTCGCGATGGACTGGGACAAGGTGGTGGTGGTAACGTCCTGGCCGTCCCCACGCTCGGTGCACGGCCTCCGAGGCTTCCTGGGGCTGGCGGGTTACTATCGCTGGTTCATCCAGGACTTTGGCTCTATCGCCGCGCCCCTCACGTAGCTGCTCCGGAAGGACGCGTTCGTGTGGTCTGAGCAGGCCGCGTCGGCGTTCGCCGCCCTCAAGCATGCCTTGTCTGCGGCCCCCATCCTCCACTTGCCAGACTTTGAGCGGCCGTTCACCGTCGACTGCGATGCATCGGGCTCCGGCTTCGGCTCGGTCCTTCACCAGGGCGCCGGCGCCATCGCGTTCTTCAGTCGGCTGTTCGTGCCTCGTCATTTGAAGCTCCCTACTTATGTGCGCGAGTTATCGGCTTGGTGCAAGCCGTTCGACACTGGCGGCCATACCTTTGGGGGTGGCGATTCGTTGTGCGCACCGACCACTACGCCCTCAAATTCATGCTCGACCAGTGCCTTTCAGCGGTTCCTCAACATCAGTGGGTGAGTAAATTGTTTGGTTATGATTTCATTGCCGAGAGTTCGTTCCGGCCGGCCGCCTCAACACCGCGTGCCGACGCCTCTCCGCCGCGGACGAGTGATGGCCGCCTCGGTAGCTCTCTGGGCCGACCTTCACCCTCTTCATCGACCAAGGCTGAGTCGAACGACGACCCCGCCCTCCACGCCCTCTGTGACTCCATCACCATTGAGCGGGGTGTGCCGTGGTGCGTCGCGGACGGCCTCATTCTCCATCGTGCCCGTGTCTTCATTCCGGCGACGTTCAAGCTCTCGCCGGTGGTGCCGCAGCCTACGCCCGCTCGGCCGCACGAAGGCATCCAAGACCCTTCACCGCCTCCGCTTCGACTTCATGGTGGAGCACGACCGTGCATTGGTGCGCGACTATGTCCGCTCCTGTGCGGTCTGCCAGCGGAATAAGGTCGATTCCCTCCAGCCGGCGGGCCTGCTTCAACCCTTGGAGGTTCCATCTTAGGTGTGATCCGACATATTGATGGACTTCATTGAAGGCCTCCCCTGCGTCCATGGAAAGAGTGTCATCTTGACGGTGGTCGACCGCTTCTCCAAGCATGCACATTTCATCACGCTCAGTCACCCTACACTACGCCTCGGTTGCGTGAGCATTCTTCGACGCCATCGTCGCTTTGCATGGATTCCCGAACTCCATCCTCAATGATCGGGACCTCGTGTTCACCGGCAACGTCTGGCGTGACCTCTTCAGGCTTGCCGGTGTCAAGCTCCGCCTCAGCACGGCCTTTCATCCCCAAACCGACGGCTAATCGGAGGCGGTGAACAAGATCATCGCAATGTATCTCCGTTGCATCACCGACGACCGTCCCCACGCATGGCTGGAGTGTCTGCCCTGGGCGGAGTACTGCTACAACACGTCCTACCACTCCGCCCTGCGCACCTCTCCATTTCAGGTTGTCTACGGCCGTCCCCCGCCGGCCTTGATCCCGTACACTGCAGGTTCTGCCCGGACAGAGACGGTGGACGCCTTGCTCCAAGATAGGTACGTGTTCCTCGCTGACATTCGGGAACCGCCTCCTCCAAGCGCAGGAGTATGCGAAGAAGTACTATGACGAGCACCATCGCGTTCCATGTGACGGAGCGGGTGGGCGACGTCGCATATCGCCTCCAACTCCCTGAGGGCGCCTGCATTCACGATGTGTTCCACGTTGGGGTCCTCAAGCCTTTCCATGGTGTTCCCCCAGCTGTCACTCCAGCGCTTCCACCACTCCACCATGGCCGTCGCCTCCAGCGCCCGGCACGCGCCGTGCGCGCCCAGCGGCGCCGGGGTGCCTGGCACGTCCTCGTCCGTTGGGAGTGTCTTCCTGAAGCTGCAACCTGGGAACCGCTTGAGGAGATGCGAGCTGCCTTCCTTGACTTCCAGCTCGAGGACGAGCTGTTTGGCGAGGGGGGGTGGGGGGAGTGATGTTATGGTCGGCAAGGTCTACCGCAGGAGAAACCGTGGCTGAACGGTGGACCACGACAGCGCAATGCGTCCGCCGCGGTCACCATGCCACGATGAACCTAGACACCGTCCAATGCGCATATACTAGTTATCAAGATCCAGAAATTTAGGTTGATTAGTTCATTTGGTGGTTATCCTTTAAGGCTAGTTGAAGTTTGTTAGGATTTGCTATATAAGTATCAAACATTTTTGCTTAATGAAGTTTAGCCAGAGATTGAGTTAATCTCTCTCGCTCTTTGGCTTTGCCGCTCTCTCCCTCTCGCTCACATTCTCGCCCTAGCCTAGGCGCCGAGCACGGCGCCGCCAGTTCGCCGCCGGGCATTCAAGCCTCAGCCAGCCACAACCCATTCCTACTCCCTACGCAACAATCCACGTTCCAACATCTAATCAATGTAACCCAATCTGCTGACCCACCACACTCATTGGATCCAAACTACAGTTTTCAGTAGCTCTTAATATGTGTTTTTAGGAAAACACCGCCTACAATAAAAACAAGACCTATTTCAGACTAAATCCAAGTTTCTTTGTTTGACATTGGAGGAAGCAGTTTACTTCCCTCAGGAACTATTGCTATTGTTCATTACTATTTTCTGTGCGCTGCAGCTACTTCGCAGGCATCGACAAAAAAATACCGGTGGGAGCACTCTTACTTCAGAAGAAGTATGTTCCCTTCCACTAGCCTTTATTGCATAGTGATGAGACTATATTGAACAATTTCAGTGCTCTTCTTATGTAGACTGTCAATCATCAGTCTTTTTGCATGATTTTGCTTGTTAATGCATGAGTTCAATCTATATATCAGCATGCTTCTGACAAAACTGCTGTGAGATGCCAGAAAAGTATATAAAACGGCTTTTTGAAAGCCCTGGTTTGATTATCCTCTTGTTGTCAGTCAGGCAAATAATCTACGTGTTATGTTATTGGGGATGGTTGATGATCCTCGTGTGGTGCTCATCAAGCTGGCAGATCGCTTGCACAATATGCAGACAATGTATGCCACTCTAGGCCTTTCATCACTATTTAGCATGTCCTGCTTATTACTTGTTTCCTAAATGTAAAATCACCTTTGTGATCTGAAGTATTTTAGGGATTCAGTTCTTATTGATACTCTCTTTGTTCATCATGTTCCCTTTCCATGTTATGTTCTGTCCTCAGTTTCTAATATTTTCTTCAGAAAATTCCAAGACATACTCAAAGCACTGGGATGGTCATGGAGAATGAACACTAAAATGCAGTAGGGAGATAAACACATTAGGTTTCAAGTAGAAAAGAAGGAAGGGTGAATTTTGATAATTGGGTTCCTGTTTCTGTATTATCTGCGTCATTTCAACATTTTCATTTTATCTGCTGCTATTATGCAAAGGAATTGATGCAGCAAATTCATTATTCATTAATCTATACTCCATGAACATTTCCATCAGCTCCAGTGTAGGCATCAGGTTTACAGATTACATAATTGTGCTTCATACCCACTGCAAAAGTTTTACTGTGTTCCCCTTATCAAATCCACAGCAATGCATCTTGAATCACTTCAGCATATCAGCGTCATAAGACAGTTCAAATGATTTCAATTCTCCTACTCTTGATTTCACTATGCTTTCAAATAAATAGCTGTTGGATTCCATAAATTTTGATCCTTGTGGTAAACTTTATTGCAGTTATGCTCTTCCTGTACCTAAAGCTGAAGCTGTTGCTCAAGAGACATTGGCTGTCTGGTGCTCACTTGCTTCTCGATTGGAAGATTTATGCTTTGCTGTCCTTCAGGTATTAATTTATTCAACATATTAGTTAACTGTGAACCGCTTACTTTATACCATAGAACTTCCATGGTTTAACTGGCATCTAGATGCTTTGATTTTTTTCAAAAGAAATAATTTCCTTGTCCGAAATCTTTTTACTAACAAATGGGTAAATTCATGTAAAGCACACAAACCTATGATGATCTTTAGGGCCAGATTTAGAAATTGGAGGCCCCGATCTTGAAGCAATAAGGGCCCTAAATTTTGAAAGTATAGCAGAACACAAGCATACAAAATTTGCTAGTCACTAGATTGCTATACAATAATACACAATTTATTTATGACAACTGGCCAATTGGGGATGGCTGGATGAGGATATGTATGCCTACCTTGCCTAGTTGCCATTGATGGAACTATTGGTGTTGGCATTGGCGGCTGGCGGCACAGCGCAGGTAATCAGCATCTTGGTGATGGCACTGGCGCCCCTAGCGCGGTCCATGGTTGGACAAGCAAAAGCGAAAAGCAAAGAATAAAAATAAAACATCGCCTCATCTGACGCCCACTTACGTACATGTAGTCGCCATGATCCAATATCCAAGGATCCAAGCTCATGCCTGAAAGTGGAGGCTGGTGGGCGCCTGAGCCTTAGTTAGTGGGGTTTGAGCCTTTCATGCTCTAGCATGTGCAACTAATATTTTTTCTAATAACTATTAAACCTTGTTAATTAGTAGTTGATGTACATCTGGGGGGGCCCTAATTTTTTGGATGCCCTGAACAGTCTCACATGTTGCACACCCTAATATATGACCCTGATGATCTTCTACATTTTTCATTTCTTTGCTTGGGTCTTATACTCAGTTTTGTAGCTGCAACGATTTGGCATTTACCCTTTATTTTAAATCAACTTGCTTTTGGAAACTATTTTTTCTGTATCTATCTGTATATTTCTATTATTAAATACCTCTGTGTCCCTGCAGCCTCAAATCTTCAAGAAAATACGATCTGAACTTACTTTAATGTGGAGTCGTACTGGAAAATCTAAAAATATGAGAAGATCATCAATTTGAAACGAATTGCTTGCCTCAACGAAAGATGGGCATATGACGTCCATCAATGATTTGTTTAGTTCATGCAACCAAGAAAAACCAAATATGAAGGTGAGTACATTGTAAAATTGCAAATGTGATTCTTGCACACTCTTTTGCTCTCACCTGATCAAAATTGACATTTTTCAGCATTCTCATTTGTACTTCCTTATGGCATATTTGTTCTTTTCATTTTTCTTCCATATGACTGCCATTACCTCATATGAACATAGATTGAATAGAAATCAATGGATCATTTTTTTACATTTGTTGCTAGGTAGGTTGACCGTATGTGACATCCAATATCTTAATATATAAATTGCTTTTCTACGTGCCAGTTTTGCCATTTGACATCTTTTTGGATCGGAAGAGGCGTTCATACTTCCTTAGGAATCTCAATAGTAATTCTGGAGAATCTATACCAAATCCTAAGACGGTTGACGATGCTGCTGTTGCATTAGCATCTTGTGAGAAAGAACTTGAGCAAGAATTGCTCATATCAACATCGTAAGCTTTTCTTTCTAATTTCCAGAATGCTTAAATCTGTCCCTCGTCATGTTAACTGTTTTTTTCAGGGATCAACAGGAGTTGCCCCTACTGCTTATATATATTTAAAATAGATAAAAAAAAGATAGTAAAGTACAAAAGCAGAGTTTAAGAAATGTAAAAAGAGACAAATAAAATAAAAAAAAGGTCACAAAAGGGCTTGTAGCCATTGTTCAATTAGAGAGAAGTACTCCTTTGCTCTATGCATAAGCATCGCAAAGTTGTTCCTAAAGAGCAGCTTGCAGATTATTATTGAGGGAGCAACACCATTGAAGATGAAACCATTTCTTGCTGTACAAATCGACAAACTCATTAAAATGATAATTTCCATGAAGAAGGGAACCCCTAGTTGACTCGTTGTGTTAGTTGTGAAGACTACTAACATTGTGGTGGTTTTAATACCTGTATTATGTAATTTCTTGTTCAGGTACATACCTGGGATGGAAGTGACTTTGTCGAGTAGACTCAAGAGCTTGTACAGTATCTACTGCAAGGTGCTACTACTTATATACTGCAAAATATGTGTTGTTTGTAAGTACATGTCTCATCCATCATGAACTTAAATTTAAGAAGTTGTGTGTCATGGACATACTTTAAATGGCCCTAAACCCAAGCAGCGTGACCGTGCCGATGCCTGACGGCCGCACAACAAGGGCAGGGCTAAAAAAGGGGTAGGGACTCCTGATCTCTGGAGATAGATAACAACTCAAACCAATCTAATCTATTTCTAACAGAACTAGGCCACTTTGGGCCTGGAATGAAAAGTACTGGACCCTAATGGTCTGCTAGGGAGGTTTGGTGCTGCTCCTTGGACCCTAATGGGCTGGATATGACATTATGCTGGATTTTTTAGTCTAACCAATTTTTTTCCTTTTTGTGCAGCATTCATTTTAGTCTTAACACATTCCGTCTCCACAGATGAAAAGAAAAGATAAAGGACTTAGGCAAGTGTATGATGCTCGTGCATTGAGGGTGATTGTCGGAGACAAAATGGTGCCATGCATGGACCTGCTGTCCGGAGTTGTTACAGCATCCTTGATATAGTACACAGGTGACATAAGGATCTATTGCTGGAATTACTCATATCAATAAGACTACAGATACTAATGTGCTGCTCGATAAAAAAGAAAGAACCGTTATTTTAAGGAGAAGACATTGTACCTGGGTGAACTTACGTTATATTACCTATGAAGTAGGTCTTACCAGGTTTGTATTGTGAATGTTCATTGTGGCTAATTTGAGATCTGTGTTTATGTTTGATTTTTTTAGTCCACAATTCACTACACAACACTTATTTCAGTTTAAAACTTTTTTTACTTATTCACTTCCAAACTTTGTAAATTGTCTGCTCCACCTGCAGGCTATGGACTCCAATTGATGGGGAGTTTGATGACTACATTATCAATCCTAAGGGTAGCGGTTACCGTAAGAATCATCTAAACATAACATCCATTGTTAGGCAGTACCCTCTGCAGCCAGTAGCCACTAGCACAGTATTTCATTCTAGCCAGGATGAAATTTTCAAAAAGTTAGAATTCTGAGTTTTGGAATAGCGACCCAGGCTTAGTTTTATTTATATACCAGTTCTATCATGAACTGGCTAGAGTTGAATTGATTTTCTTATAAATTACTTCCTCCAAATTTAAATATAAGTCCATCTATGTTTGTCCTAACTCCTAAGTCAATCTTGAATTTTGATGATCAATACCTAAAATTATATATAGATTGGCAACACAAGGTTAGCATTAAACACGAAAAATACTTTCAAATATAATTACTTTAATTTAGGATAATATATTTTTAGGTAGTCAAAGTTACAAACGTTTGACTTAGATGGACTTATATTTGTGAGAGGAAATAGTAGACTGCTGAGTTCATAGTCTGCTTTCCCTTCTTTGCTTATTAATTTGCTGTCGTTTTTCCCTTTATAGTCACTCCACACAGCAGTTCAGGCATCTGATAGCTCACCACTGGAGGTCCACATTAGAACCCAGGTAAATAATTTTCTACCCTTATTTGAATAAATTCTGATAGTTCATGTTGATGCTGATGGAGGTATCTTCACAGCGAATGCATGAGTATGCAGAACATGGACTTGCTGCTCATTGGCTGTATAAGGAGAGCGAAGTTGAGTACAGAAGTAGCATGAGTAAGAGAATAAGACAAAGTACATCATATTCATCTAGTTCTTCAGAAGATGAAAGTTCTATACAGGATGATATCCCATCAAAGTACAGTTCTATGAAAGTGGGGCATCCAGTGCTAAGAATTGAAGGTTGTGACTTACTAGCAGCTGTCATAGTCAGGTATAGCTTCATTCAGAAATAGAAACTGTTATTTGTTCTGGAAGACCAATATTTCAGCTGATATATGTTTTAATCAATTTGCAGTATAGATAAAGGAGGAAAGGAATTGATTGTTGCTGTAAGTTTTAGTCTTGAAGCTTCTGAAGCTGTAGCTGAGCTAAGGTCATCTTTTCAGTTGAAGCGTTGGGAAGCCTATGCTAGGCTTTCATAAAAAGGTCATCTTTCCAGCAATGTGCGTTGAGCGCGACAGCGACAGAGAGGTTTGTAGCAGTCCGGGGCTATGTCCATGGGTTCACTACCTTGTAGCCAGTTGTCCTTCCAGAAATTTGTTTTCTGTCAATCGCCGACTGTGATTTAAGTGCAGAGTTTTCATAGCTCCCGTTCACAGCTGCAGTGAGGTTTGGTGGCAAACTTGTCCAGGGTCACAGAATTCTTGACCAAATCATACAGAGATTGAAATCCGATTTCAGGCGTTGCCACACCTTGTGCGCCTTTGCAACTCATACTCAAAACCTTGGCTTCTTTTCTGGTTTATTATGCATCTTTGCCTAGATGCTGTGGGAGGTAAAATAACCTTTGCTTGCATTCACAAGGGAAGAGATTATTTCAGTTGGTATTACTCCCTCTCCCCTTGCTCTAGGGAAAGCTGCAGGAATTCTTTGTGTGGTTATGTGAACTAACAAGAGAATAAAAAGGGGAACTTTCCTGCATCGGAGTTGCTGACATGAGATTTGTTTGTCCTTGGAGCGCAGATTTATTAAATTTTGATGTCCCATGGCGGTTCATAGCCTGATCTCCTACAACTACAATGTTACATAATGGATAGTGGGTTCTTGAGGAAGAAAAACTTGAAAAATACCTGGTGCTCCACCACGCCGCCCCCACCTTCCGCGGCTAAGGCTAGACAAAAAACTCGAAGCTCGTTAGCTCGTTCGGCTCGTGGCTGGCTCGACTCGGCTCGGCTCGTTATGATAACGAACTGAGCCGAGCCAAGATTTTAGCTCGTTAGCTATAACGAGCCAACTCGAGCCAGCTCGCAAGCCGCTCGTGAGCTAAACGAGCCAAACTTCCAGGAAAAAAAGTATCAAAACTTATATTAGTTTTTGTATTACTTCATGTCTTGCACTTTACAATTGACTAGTAACTGGTCTAGACCCTATAAATTGACTGGTAACTGGTCTAGATGTATTTCTTTTATATTATTATTATTCTCAAACTTTAGATAAATACAAATATTATATTTTATGTATTTTTTATACCTGACTTACGAGCTTAACGAGCCAGCTCAAATCTTTTAACGAGCCAGAACCACGGGCTTCGTCGGCTCGCTCGGCGCCTTCAAATATTTGTCAGTGTGACTCGAGTGAGATGAGAGACCGACGTGTTCTTTTCTTTTGCCAGTGTGACTCGAGTGAGATGACTTGCACTGTGAAGAGGCATCATTTGTATTCGCATTTGCATCTGTTCAAATATTTGTCGAACATATAAAAACAATAATAAATACATGCACGATTGCTTTTGCTTATAGCCTTTTTCACCATTGCAACAATCTTTCTTGAGATGCTCAATATGCCCTTGTTCGTGGCACACGGTTGGCAGGCAAACGCCCAGATCTTCAGAAATTAATCCTCGACACAATATCACACGATCATAACCTGATGCTGAAACTAACATTCAGAATGAATGTTTCGAGGTCAGCAAGACAGCAAGCAAAACCTCGCAATTCTGCAGCACTGCGCCTCATCGAAACAGAAATTACTCTAATACACGTTTATAGAGTGAAAAATGCATATCTAGCATATAAATATGACAAGACAATTCCTCAACCAAAAAACATAATCCATGCAACATAATAGATTCGAGACTAACGGTAAATGGTCATCAACACACAGCAAAATTAAAAGCTCCTCTTGACAAGCATAGAGACATCAACACTACCCCAGAGAGGACTAGCTTCTTGATGGCCAGAGCCAAGAGTCGCAAACAGCAAGCAGGAGAGACGCCTACAGCCTCCTTCCCCTCCTACCACCCTTTCTGCGGGTGCTGTCAGTGGGCACCGGGGTAACGTCCTCTGCAGACAACACAAATGTTGCATCAGTATACAGAAACAATAAGGCATTATGTTATGATAATTAAAGCTGACTTTAACGAATTAGGGCTAACTAGTACAGTTGGCCCTTGAAAAGATACAGATTTCTTACCAATGCGTCCAATTTTCATCCCAGAACGAGCAAGAGCCCTGAGAGCAGACTGAGCACCGGGTCCAGGGGTCTTGGTCTTGTTGCCTCCAGTGGCACGAAGCTTAATGTGCAGTGCAGTAATACCAAGCTCCTGAAGACAGAAGACCAACTCACAAATTACTTGTCTGGATACAGCAACACTAAAGCATCCCTACATAATCCTAGGCTTCAATTTAAGTAAGCAAACATCATCTTTGGATACACAGATGAACCAATGAGCGATTGCAGTAGAACCTCTCTAATGAAATTCTTGACGTCACTACACATACCTTGCAACGCTGTGCAACATCTTGAGCAGCAAGCATAGCAGCATAAGGTGACGACTCATCACGATCAGCCTTGACCTTCATCCCACCTACATGGTTTAGGTTTAGCACATCGCGGTTAAAACTAAATACAACTGCCATCTAGGTCAAGCATGGACCAAAGTTTCAGGATGGTACCAGTGATCCGAACCAGAGTTTCCCTCCCAGACAAATCAGTGATATGCTGCATATTAAAACATCACACGGTTAAACTAGGGAATGGAATGAACAGGTCTATCCACAGATAGAACATACACAGCACTTACAATGAAGGTGTCATTGAAGGATGCAAAGATGTGGGCAACACCAAAGACATACTCTCCTTCACGAACAGTGGGTCCGAGGGTGACATTCTCCTCCTTGGGCTCCCTGGTCTTCCTCCTCGACTGCAAACATATAACTACTATAAGATGACATTGAACTTATTATCGTGTTAACCTCCAGAAATTATTCCACAGTACACGAGTTAACCTGAGTTGATATGGTTATGTTATCACTGTAAGAACCTAAGAGGATCAAAAGGATAGTAATTGAGCACAATACAGAAAGCTACTAATCAAGACAACCATTTCAAGCAAACCAACAGTAGCACATAGTGGATTTACTCTAAGGTGCCGTTTGGATGTGGCCTGGGAAAGGGATAGGGTAATAGATGGGTAACGATGGACTGGGTTAGAGTTTGGGTTATGAGATTCGTATCCCATACCTTTGTTTGGAGCTTTGGTTTGGGATAGCATCGTTGGTGGGACCCACATTGCTTAAAAAAATACCTTCCTGATGGTTCGGCACCTTAATGCCGAGTGGCCAATCCACAAAAAATACGACACCGTGCCTCCGCCCATGCCGTAACTGCCGCGCCGCGGACGACAAGGGCTCCACCGGTGGGGCGGTTGCTGCTCCGGCAGCGGGCGCGGCGAGGGCGGTTGGGGCTCCTGCAGCGCCTCGGACTCGACGGCGTGTGAGGCGAGCGGGGGATTGACGGCAGCCGCCACGCATGGGTCTCTCTTCCTTCACGCCGTCGCTCTTCTCAGCCCGTCGTTTCCCAGCTTAACCCACCCTCTTCGTCGGGATGAGATAACCTTCCTATTTCCCTTTCCCCGTGCTACAGTATTTCCCTTTCCCACTACCCAAACATAGGTTAGGGTTTAACTGTCCGCTCATATCCCAGACCAAGCCTCATTTCCCACTTCCCAAACGCCACCTAAGGAAAATCTACTAAAATGTATATCGAATGAAAACTGATAGATGACATTCAACAGCAAATCAGTCTCGGTCTACTAATCAAGACAATCATTTCAAGAACTCAAACAAGATTTGCATCACGATGTATATTGTCAACAATTATCCAAACAAAACATATACTTTCCAGCTTCCTGAGCAATTCAACCCAAACAACCCCCACATAACCAGCATTTCTCACTCTTAATAGTTCGCAGATTTTAATCATACCAATGCTTCCACGGTTTTAGCAGCACATCTCAAATATTGCATTTGGCAGATAAAACATGTTCACCTAAAACACCCATAAATCATGATCAGATTAGCAAAAATGTTGCCCCAGCATCACCTCAATCTTCAACTCAGGAGCACGAGTTGCAGTCAACTATTTTACCGAAGGACATATCTCAAATTGTAATTCACCAGCCCAAAACAACACTTTCCACCGCGGGCAATCATCCGAAACAACAATATCCCTAATCAACAGCCCAATCTACGCTATTAGGAACCCATCTCCAAACAAAACAATCAAATCCGCCGCTACCCTGCTTGCGCCTAGATCCGCGTGCGAGCCTTAACCAGACGAGGAGAGGCTCGCTTACCATGGTTGCGTGGAGCGACGGGTGACCGGAGCAGAGGCACGCTTCGGGTTAGGATCACGAGCACGCCGCCGCCGCCGAAACTTCAGAGGGGATGAGTGGTGCGCGTTTTTATATACGAGGCTGCAGCCCATTAGGGTTTAGACCCACCATCGCCCAACGAAAATTCCTCTTTCGCCCTCGCTCTTCTGTCACTGCGGCTGGGCCCCGTCTCTTAGACAAGGACACTGCCGGTAATTTGGTGGCCTAACTCCTAACGGGCCAAAAAAAAAGGCTATATGGGCTAGATAAGAATGCAGCCCATTTAGTCTCGTCTTCTTCCCATTTCCTCTTCTCCCTGGGCTCGACTGCTGCGAGCAGGGGGGACCGAAGCAGCCGTCGTCTCTTCTCGGGATCGCACGCGGCGCGCAGGGGTAGGAGGCGAGGTCGCTCTGTGAGCCCGTCCGATCTCTCTCCTGCGTTGCCGTGATCTGAGGATTTGTGGGTGGGTGCGTCGTGCTGGTGAATCTGACTATTTTTTTCTGTTCTTTGAATTCAGGAGGGAAGAGGTGTTGGTGGTGGGTGGAAGAAGTGGGGTAGGATGAGCTCGGAGAGGCCGGTGCCGCGGCGGGAGAGCCCGTGGGGTCTGCCCGAGGGCGACACGCGGCAGCCCAAGGCGCACCGCTGCAACGACCGCGCCGAGGACGTCGTCCAGGTCCGCTTGCCCTCTTGTCACATGTCGCTTCTAGCAGTCTGCCCATTGTGTCCTCCAACAGATGAATGGGGGTAGTCACGACTCATAACCATCTTAAGTTCTGAATGGGGAACTGATGATTCTTGGCCAGTTTAGTGATGTATCCTCAGTACCTTATTACCACCGTCTATCGATTTTGATTGTGCCCAACTTAGAGTCGCTTCAAATTGGGATCAGGCTGGCCGCTGGCATTGTGTTGTTTCGTCCCCAATGCTTGTCAACCATCAAGACTTGTTACTCGACTTTGCTCACCTTGTAACTAACCTAGGAGAAACCATGATTCGACAACCTTTAATCAGGACTGTTTCTGCTTTGTGCTGCTATTAGAAGCTCCAATATAAACCTGGAAAGCAAAGATTGGAATGAACAAATAGCCAACCTGACTGATGTGCCTTCTTCCAGGATGGAATAAACCCCATATATATGCCTAAGAACACAATTAGGAACACTGAAGAAACCATCCTGACGCTTTCCTGTTTCTGTTATGGCCCTGAAAAAGGTACTGATAACATCATGACATAGGTGCAGCGTTTTCAGTAGAGAACGGCATGAAAACCATCACTAGTCAGTTGGAGTTGTCCACTGTCATGACATGGTAGCCGTGCTATGTGCTAACACTGAACTGCCAGCGTCCACAATCTTACCCAAGGTTGTTAAAATCGTGATCTTCAATCGAATCGGAACTCCAATGTTCGGCTTGTAAATCGTAGGATCATAACTACTGAAATTGTAAAATCGTAGATTCTACTTAGAAGAATCATATAATCAACCTGATAAACTAAGATTGTCCATAGAATCGCGATTTTAACAACTATGATCCTACCCCCATTTTGGATTCTTGGTAGTGAGCGCCTGTCAGACGTAGCGACTTACTGCATGTTTTCCATACAAAGATGAAGCTATTAGCTTTGTTTCTAATGATTTTGACAACATTAGGTCATGTGCTGCATTGTTAAGTTCGAAATTTTTATAGTTATACATATGATGAACATACTTCTATTTTGTCATTTATTTTTGCAGGCTTGCTTTGAAGGGAACCCATTCAAGACAGTTCCAGGTCCATTCAAGCTCTTCTGGCAATGCATGCGCTCAAAACCTGGGTAGGTGTACCTTCTTATAATATTTATGTGCTTAGCTTTTCGCATATCTCATCTGATCTACAGTAAGATGGGAGACACTGTTGGATGGTTCTAATGCATTAAGCACTATGCTGCTGATAGAAAGAAATAAACGAGCTCTTATTGAGGAAATCTAAACTAGCAACCTAGCATGTACTGACTAGAGTGAAGTTAAGGAGGGCCACTTTATCTTGTTTATTATGTCTTTGCTATTTATTTATTAAGGAGGATGTTAACTAGTAACTGCAGAGATTGCTCATGAAGGTTAACCACTCAAGAGATAAGGTTTTGTTGGTTTGGAAACTGTTTAGCAAGGAGCACATTGATGATATCCACTAGTAACTATGCATGGCTTTGCTCAATTTTATTTTCCCAATAACTGACATAGTTACTGAATTGCATGCATTAGCTTGTAATTTGGATTTTGGCATTCTCGCTGAAGTTATATGAGCTCCCTGAATCACCATAGTTCATGGAGTGACTGCCTGCATAGTTTTTGGACTGGGACTGGGCGACTGGCTGTGCCATCAGCTAGTTAGTTTCTTTCATAAAATGGCCTTTTGGGTCGTCTGCTTCCACATAATGTACTGATATTGCATCTTTTGGGAAGGAGGTTCTTTTAGTTGGGTTGCTTGGAAGGATAGGGCATGTTCTTTTATGCATAGGATAGATGTGAAACCTGACATATGATTAGTCAAAATATGATGTGCATCTCAGCTTGGTTAGTCATTTGGCCAAGTTGGTGCACTGAGGCAACTTGGCCGGGAGCAACCAGTTCAAGCATGCCAAGGCTAGAACAGCTTATAAGCAATTAAATGCCACTGAAATGAACAGGAAGTATAATTTGCTACTATGGCATGACTTGAAAGGGGTGTGGAAACCTCTAATGTCCAGACATATTTGATATCGATCATAAATTTGTTCATATAAAAATAAGAGCTAAGTACTTCAGAAAACTGTTGTACAGAAGACACCAACTTGAGGACCTCATTCAAGCGTGCTGTGTGCAGCCAGATAATCCACCCAGGATAACGGTTTGACTTGGTTAGGCAAGCATTTGGTTCACAATTTAGTCATGGCAACGTCTTTTGAGCTAGGTCCCACACGCCATACACACGTCATTGTGGCAAGTGGCCCTTAGGTGTGCCAAACTTGTAAGTTATGGTGAGCATTTTCTTTGCCACAAGCTAGGCAAGAAAGGTGTGGGAACACTAGGCGTTCTTAAGCCATGATCCAAAAAGACAGCTAGATTATCCCGCATGCTTATTTCAGCATTGAAAATTTTGCATTGAGTATTCTTAACCTGAAGATTTATCCTTTTCATTAGCATCAGCAGTATTTCACGTATGCACCTGTGGTTTTCAGGGAGGAACCAACCGAGCCCTATACTTACCTGCAGCTAGATCCTCCGAGAAGGGTGGAAGTGAATCTGGAGCAAACAGCTTCTGAATCTTGAACGGGCATGCCTAGTTTATTACTCGTACAAATTTGTCTTCACCTTTCAGGCAGCCTTTTCCTGCTAGCGATCATATCCTGTGAGCACAAAGCTGCATATGTTTGGATGTTTATAATAATCTAATAAACCCTGATCTATAGAGCTGCCTTTCCAGGCGGTGAACTCCTTGAAATTGCTGTTGCTGATGTAGGAATTGTGCCCCTTTTCTTTGATATAAATCGTGCACTTCCAAGTCCACATGCCGCCAGACTTCGGAGTCAATGCTTCTGAAGGCCACTGTTCCATATGGTGTGTGTCTGTCTGTTTGTTCATACTTCATACCAGTATTTGTGTACAGTTCTTTGTAAATGCTGCTTGATTCCTACACTGATTGGTGTGAGAGAGTTTGAGACCACCGTGCAGACACTCGTTGGCCATATGATCTGCTTTCCCGAGCCGTTATCCTGGAGATTCTTCTGCATAATTATTTCAACATGTTCTGTCTCTTGGACGTTGCTTTCTGAAGCACAGTCCCATGATGCTTTCTGTTTGACACATTCCATATGGGCTCTGTGTGTTTGTTCATACTTCATACTAGTACGTGTGTACAGTTCTCTGTAAATGATGCTTGATTCCGACTTGCACTGATTGTGAATCGTGATTGGTGTGTGGGAGAGTTTCTGGACAACGTGCAGATGAGTCCTTGGCCATACGGTCTGCTTTGTCGTACCATTACCTTCCTCCCTGTACCGCTGGGACCTGACTGACATGCTTGAGAGCGTCTGAACTTATCGGCCGGTTTATCACCTAGAATTTATAGTATTTTTTTCTCACAACAAATCAGTTTCAATCGGTTTATCAGCCGTCTTTAATACGAGGTGAACAGACCCCCCTTGAGCCTCTTCTTCTGTACTCCAAGCTAAGGCCGTTCGTCCATTGTCCATTTCTCTTGGTGCTCAGAGTTAGAGAGATGCACTCACATGCGCATAGTTAGGGTGTGTTTGGTTTGGAGAATGAGGTGATCCATCATCTTCTCACTCCTCACTTTTTGTATTTGGTTTGTGGAATGAAATAAGTTATTCCATCACCATCTTATTCAACATAATGCATCACCTCATGAAGTATGGGGCGACTTCACAAATCAAACACACTATAAGTGTTTGTGCATATCATTCTCAATCAATAAATCTCGCCTAAGGGTTTTGTAAAAAAAAAAGTGTTTGTGCATATCATTACCGGGACCAATAACACTACACTGTGGAGATTAGTGTGGAGGTGCTGATGCATGCCATTCTCGATCTCCATCTCTCTTGCCGTTCGCTGTCGTGTTCGGCCAGCCAAGTACACTTCACTGCACCACCACCGGGGTTGTTTAAAACCCACTAGTCTCTGCTCGCACCAGAGCATTCCAAGCATCCGTGGCTTCTCCGTGCGTCGACGCGTGGTTCTGACTGTTTTGCAAAAAAGTCCTCTATCTTTTCACAAACTAACCCGCAGTCCAGTTTGTCAGCTCTTAACTCTCCGTGCATCGACGCGTGGTTCTGACTGTTTTGCAAAAAAGTCCTCTATCTTTTCACCACCAACCCGCAGTCCAGTTTGTCAGCTCTTAACAGTATTCCCATTCAGATAATTTTCATGTAAGACCCTGTTCGAGAAATACTTCCTTTTTGCATAAACCTCCCCGCGGTGGATTTCGCGGACAGCCCCCCACCCGCACCAAACCCGAACCCCGCTGGCCCTCTCCTCATTCTTCTCTTTCCTTTCTCTCTCTTCTCACCGCCGCTGCCGCGCGTATCGCCGCCATCGCTCCTCCGTCGCCTCCAGCAACGCATCCGCGACGGCGACGTCGAGCTGCTCTGGCATCTACCGATCCCACTTACGGAGTAACTCCTCATGATGCCCACTGAGCGAATCCGGTCGGCTCCGACCTCGATGGCAGCGGATCTGGGCTCGGGGGCAGCGAATCCGGTTAGCCTACACCGGCTGCTCCGCGACGAGGCCTCCCAAGGTACGCGCGTGCCGCTGCTGAAGTGGTTGGACCGGTGGCTGCGCGGTCCACGCCCTCATCTCTCTCATGCGCCTCCACGCCCACCCTGCCATGCGCCCCTACGACATCGCTCCCCATTGCGGTCGTCCGCTCCATCGACTGCTCGAGCTCCATGCTCATGAGCCGCAAAGAGGTCAAAGCCCCAGGTCGACCTGCCACTCTTCATTGCCTCCATGCCAACATGGACGCCCTCCTGGTAGAGGTCCTTCCCCTGTCTTTCATCTTGGGTTTCAGATTTTTTGGCAGAAAACTTCTTGATTTTGTGTGTGACTTTGAATTTGGTTCAGAGTTGTAGAATTGGATAATTCTGACTTCCTAGGTGCTATTCCAGATTGAGGTAATCCTATTTGTCAAGTGGCTTTGAAAGTAGGGAAGTCGATGATATTTCAGTGGACACCGGTAGTTCAAGCATTGAGATGTCCGATATCCGGTCTCAACCAGACATGTGGATAGGTCGTGCAGAGCCTCTTGAGAGCCTGTTGGGGGCAGATATTATTGCAATTGCTTATGATATCACTAACAGATAATCTTCAACTAAACTACACAATAGATTGGCCAGGGAGAATGATATAGCATATGGTTGTATATACTTGTAAAAGGTGTAAAGTATTAAGCTTAGCATTTTTTAAAATTCTTACTACATATTGATGCTGGATAGTAAGGCAATTTAATGTTGTGCTTGATTTCAGATGGATGCTTTTCCAGTATGGGTTAGATGGGGCCATGCTTAGTTCCAATAGAGCTTGTTAAGAATAGTTTCCACATAGTCTGCCTTTCCATAGGTGTACATGGACTTTCCATTCTTAGTGTCTTTTTTTTCCTTTTGTTTTCAGGAAGATGGTGAAATGATTCTTTGTTAATCTAATTCACCACTGAGCTAAGATGGCTAAAAAAGTTATAATGCAGATAGAATGAGGGAATTTGTTTGGATGACTTGTGCCAAAGAGAGGGTTTTTGACTTTCACCATTTTGTTAAGTTACATTTTAATTAATTTGTCAGGCAAAGTGGTGCTTTTCATTATCTTTTTTGTGTAATATTTTTGTTTGTTTATTTTCTTTACAGGAAAGTACTTCTATGCTTTGGGTTTTTCATGTACGGTTTATCATACTTCTTAAGCTTTAACAAATTATATTTTTTTCTCTCACAACTCACATAGGTAGTGTTATTAGCAAGCTTTGATTGTTATTAGCAGAGTGGGGGCGGGGGGTGAAAGCAGGGAGTATCTTGCAGCCAGCAGCATGAGTGAGGTGCCGTGCAGGTGCGGCAGGTAAGCCTTTTCAACATAGGTACAGCTGGAGTTCTCTTAATTTTGGTGTGGTCTCGATGCCTAGTAAAAATTGGATCTGGGAAGTAAAGGTGATAACTTTGCTTCCGTTACTTGAATTTGAGACTGAAATTGGTCTAAGTTGCTAAATGATGAAGTTGAAGACAGAGTTTGTCAAGGAGTCTCCAACTCTTATTAGGATAAATAGCAAAAGCATGATTGATCTGCTGGTGCTTACT